TTTAAGGAAAATGTTTCATGTCTCAAGTCAAAACAAATTGTTTCCAAATCCGTGAGTAATTCAAGAACCATATGCAGCCTTACTACCAACAAAAATCCTCCACCCCCACCTAGGGCTTCAGATGCTTTCAAACCCTTTGGCAGGCATCCTATGTGCAGGCCCAAGCCTGGAGGCTTGGGGTTCAGATGCCCCCAAATTTCACTTACCCTCAGCTGTATGGATGCAGAAGCAAGCTAGGGAGGAATCTCCCATTTCCATAAAGTCAGCGTAAAGCCAAGTTCTTCCCACTGGAAGTGAAAGTGGGAGACTACCTATGCATTACCTCGGCCAGGGTGCTACCCCACTGCCAAAAAAGTGGTTTTCCCCCACCAGCAGAAAAAGCACCTTGATGGTCATGGTACTTCCCCTGCCAGGGTAAATCTAAAATCCTAGATACCTATAAGGATTGAGGATGAGATTTTTAATATTAGTTGTTGACTTCTGTGAAAACTACAGACTGCCTCATCTTCACTAGAACATTGCCTCAAGTTAGCAATGCTGGATTAAGAATACGACTCTTTTTACATAGTGAGGTTACAGGAAATCTATGATAGCGCGGGGATGAGAGGCTTGGTCTTTCTAATCTTAGGTGAGCAGTCTAACTGCTGGATCTTCCAAAATGAAAGACAGCACCTAAAGACTACAAGGAGCTTGCCATTCACCTGGTAGTCCCATTGCAATGAGAAGAGGGAGCAGTCCAGATGCCAGTTGGGGTTCTGTGGTTGGTTACAAGAGCACAAATTCATTTTGCTCCCTTTCCCATGTTTCACTTTGTGGATAGCACCATTCAAGGTTCTCTCTCCACTCCAAAGGCATTTCCAATAAACCCTGGAGAACAAAATGTTCATCACTTTAGATTTTAAATCTCTTTATTGGTGAAAAAATGGTAATTTTATTACTTTTATGGTACGTTTTCCATTATTTGCATAATTGCTCAATGCTAATAAGACAATTAGCAATTACTATGGCTTAATAATTACCCAGCAATAACTGGCCTATTGTATTTTAATGAAATTTTTAATTGTTGCTTGGGGTCTTGAGGTTCTTTTGCCCAATCTCTTTTTCCATTAGAGAAGTCATTCATGGGAGCAGGGTGAGAATAAAGGGGAGACAAAAGCAGCTGGAGAGAAGAAGCAGAATGAGTTTTTTAATGATCTTTCAAGTAAAAGGGGAAAAAAATAAACCTTTGTATTTAGCCTCTTTACAGCCAAATTAATTCTTTTTTCCCATCCATCCTCATGTTTGCACTTTCAGACACAGTGCTTGTAGGAAAATGTTACTGTCTGAAGGCTCAGGAACTATGGAGGCATCTTGGGCCAGTTTTGATGTACTCAGTACTATCAAGAGGCTGTACAATTCTAGCCAACAGTAAAGAAATGGCAGCTAAAGCACTAGCCAGCCCTCGTTACACTGGGATATCCTTACATAGGAGTTAAACCCAGTCAGACAGGACTCGGATTACATTAGCAGCAGCTGAAGTCCAGGGAAGTAATACGGTAGCCTTGTTGCATGGAGACACTGGAAACAGATTTCTTGATGTAGATATGCACATGTGCAGATGAAGGAGGGGAAGGAAGTGAAAAAGGGGTTCGCCCACCCCTTAATTCGGCACGTGGAAACCAGGAGTCTCTCTTCCATAGGGTTAGCATGAGAACATTGCTGCCTTCAAACACTGACTCCCTTTTCAAGAGCAGTGTTGATCTTCTTCCTCCTCACATTTCCACAGAGGATGTCGCGTGCATCATGGACAGCACGTCGATGAGACAGGGAAGGTGTCTCCTCTGTTCTTGTTCCCCATATGCCCCCGAGGCAGCTGCTACTGAGTCATGAGTGCACAGTCAGAGCTGGTGAGTTAGTCACTCCTTGGCCATGGGTTCAACACCATTGCTTCCCCTGTAGCTCACAAACTGAAGCCTCTCCAAGGCCTGCAAAAGCTTTGGCACCTCAGGCAGCCATTCCCCTGAGCAGTCAGGCCAAGGCCAAAGTCCAAGAGCTTCAGAACCATGTGAAACAGCCGAACTTCACCACAGGGAGAAACATGGATGTGTGCAAGAGCCACTTGATCCAACATCTATCTACCTACTACATACGCAGCGTGCAAACACAAGGAAGAACACACACAGTACACTGGCGCACACAGGAGTCATGCTCATACACTGCGCTCAAAGACGCACCAAAAAAAAAAAAGAAAAGAAAAAAAAAAAAATCACACTGCACAAAGCCAAGAAACACAAGCAGTACAGCTATCCTACAGTGTACACCATGCCAGAACTGCCAATCCCAAAGGCCTGTTTGGTAGGTGGGGTATTGTCGCACATCTACAGATGCATCACCAGCAGGTCCAAGGAGGTGATCCTCCCCCTCTGTGCAGCATTGGTCAGGCCACAGCTGGAGTACTGCGTCCAGTTCTGGGCGCTGGACTTCAAGAGGGATGTGGCTAGCACTGAAAGGGTGCAGAGGAGGGCCACTCACATGGTCAAGGGGCAGGCCCTATGAAGAGAGGCTGAAGAGCCTGAACCTATTGAGCCTCCCCAAGAGAAGGCTGAGGGGGGACCTGGTGGTGGTTTACAAACACACCAGGGGGGACCAGTGGGAACTGGGGGAGGCTCTGTTCCCCCAGGCACCACCCGGGGTTACTAGGGATAACGGCCACAGATTGTTAGAGAGAAGGTTCAGGCTGGACATCAGGAGACATTACGTTACGGTTAGGGCTGCCATGCTCTGGAATGGGCTTCCAGGGAGGTGGTGCTCTCTCCTACCTTTGGGGTCTTCAAGAGGAGGCTGGACAGATATGTGGCTGGGGTGATATGACCCTGGCACCCGTTCCTGCCCGGGGCAGGGGGTCAGACCTGATGAGCTGTTTAGGTCCCTTCCAACCCTAAGCACTATGATACTATGGTATTTCCTTGCACTGCTACCAGACAAGAAAAATCACATGCTTTGGGAGGCAAAATCCATTTGAGAGCATTTTATCTGCCTGTAGGGTTTGTTTTCAGGCTTTTCCCCATAACCCTGAGGGCTAGCAACTTACTTTTTTAATGCAAGTTACTTCATGAGAATCATGATTCCAGGAACTGAGGATTTCCAAAGAACATCAAACATCCCAAGATTTGCAAACAAAGAGATGACAATGCTGCATTCTGATATTACTACACAACTCTGGGAGCGGGAATTTTGAGCAAGGCATACAATATTATAAACCTCACAATAAATTCATGAAAGTTGGCAACACAACCCAATGAACCAGCCACACATCCTTCCTGTCTCACTAATACGTGCTACCATGGCACAAGCATGTGCGGAAAGATACCCCGATTTTGACCTGGGACGCAGCGAAGAATGGGAAATGACCAATGGGCTGCTACTGCAGGGATCCTTCCCTGGTACAAAAAGACTGCAGAGCCCATCTCTTGTTCACCCCTGCAGAAACTGAGAACAGGGGGAAAGAAACTTCTCTCTCCTCTGCCCTGTACTAGGAGGCACCATTGCAACAATTCTGTGACTCAGAAGCCCCATCTGAACATTTTATGGCTCTTCAGCATTAAATGCCACCCACGTAACATGTAAAAACCTACATACTTTGTGACTGGTATTACTAATTGCTCTGCTACGTTCAGCTCAAAGTTATCCCTTCCTCTCTCCCCACAAGCCCTGCCTTTGGAAATGCAAAGGACCCTTTGCTCTATATTGAGCAACTTGAGAAAGGGCTGCAAGACACCCAGCCTTTGCCTGACTCAGATTCCAGCTCTCTAGTGTCTTCACTTTCTGTTTAGTTAGGGAGAACCGGGGCATTTCCACAGTCCCTGGTGTGAACATAAAGTATTTAAAGGAGCCAGTGGGACTAACCTGTTACTTGTCCAACGGGGAGGGCCTGCAAATCATGGTCATTGCAAAAGAATTTCCAGTACCTTTTTCCACCCAGCAATTCACCAGCAGAAAGAAAGCGATAGAGGCTGTAGTTATGGAAGAGTGCCAGGCTTAGCTGACTGTTTACTGCCCTTCCCTTTTCCTCTCACTTTACTGCCCCTGTTATATTCATAACAGAGCCTGGTGATCAAAGGTACAAAGACTTCCTGAGGTGGAAAGGTCACCTGTTTTAGGAGATACCATCCACTTTCTACCCTCATAGACAACATCCAGGCAGACCTGATGCCCTTTGCAAATAATTCCCGAAGTAGCTCATACCAAGCCCAACCTCTGGACGTACCATATTACAGTGCCTGACTAAACATTAGTAAACCCAAGAATAATGACTTGCTCACATTGCATGTTTTCTCCAGTGCCTGATGAAGGGTGTTTGTGCCCAAAAGCCTGCAAGCACCTACTCTGGACTCTTTTAAGAAACATTTGGATGCCTATCTTGCTGGGATCCTTTGACCCTAGCTGACTCCTTGCCCCTGGGGCAGGGGGCTGGACTTGATGATCTCCTGAGGTCCCTTCCAGCCCTAATGTCTATGAAATCTATGAAATTAAAGACTTTTTTTTTTGCAATCTTGTTGGTTTATTAAAAGATATCATCTCTACTACGAGTCCCGATTGCCTTTTGGCTGTTAGTGGCACTTAATAGTTAGTTAGCGGCCTGTTGAACTTTGCAAAGCAAAGCCATGATGCCCTCTAGCGGCTGAGTGATACAGTGTGAAGAGTACCTAGGGAGCCAGAAGCCCTTTGTCGAAGGGTGCTAGGGCCCTGGTTCAGAGCAGTAGGGAGGAAGTTCACAGGACCTCAAGAGTTATTGTGTGAGGAACGATGCAGTTACATGATGAGCCCTTACAGGAGGTTGCAATGCTTCAGTGGGGAACCGGGTCACCAAGCTCCAACGCTCTCACTACACACTTACGGGGGTATAGGCTGTAGCTGTGTTGGTCTAAGGACATATTCATTCCATCCAGGAGGATGCTTCCTCAGCCTAACAAAGGGTATTTATACCCAAAAGCTTGCAAAGAAGAATTTTTCCAACCATATGAGTTGGTCTAATAAAAGATATCAGATTTACCCAAAGAACCTTGTCTCATTACACGCTAGGCCTCCCATTCCAGAAGGCCCCAGATCAGTACCTGACACAGGCTAGTTTGATCATCGATATAAAAAATAGGGTGATCTGTAGGAATGCCCATGATACTGAATGGAGGAGCAATGTCCCTTGCTAATTCTTGTCCTGAGAAAGACCTGAAGGGAGAGGGATGGGTCTGTGCTGGGATCAGTAATGCAAGTGCCAGCAGAGAAAGAAAAGGGGTTCAGGATCTTCTACCTGAGGGGAAAGGGCCAAGCATGGGCAGAGATGGCAGCCACCCCCACTACTGTCTCTTTTGCTCCACATCTCATCTACAGAGACCTGAAAAAATGACTCCAATCTCTGTCCAAGAGCAGAGGTCCAGGCCTAGCAGGTGGAGAGGATGTGGTTGGGGCTGGGGGGAGAAGGAAAAGACTAAGGAACTATCTTTAGATGGAGTGACGGTGTAGTAGCGATGATCAAGGAAACGTGAGAGGTGAGGACTTTTGTGGGCAAATCTCATGCTGAATCAGACCGGTTCTGGACTGCAGGTGGGGAGATTTCAGCTTTGTCCTCTCCAACCTTGGCCCCAAAGCTGATGGCTTCCTCTGACCCTGGGCCCACCACCTCCATAGCTGACCTGCATACAGGAGGCCGAGGGGGAGCCTGTACTTCAGGATCAGCATTTGGCTGGTGATCTGCCCCAGTTTTTCTGAATCCACAGTTATCACTTAAATCTTCAGTTTCAAAAGTGTCTTGGGGCTTCTCATCTCCCGAGGAAGAAGTGCTCCCAGCAAGGGTTTGGTCCAGAGCTTGGCCCCGCAGCTTTAGTTGCCTCCTCATCTTTGCTCTACGGTTCTGAAACCAAACCTAGGGAAACCCAAAGGGAAATGGGCATTAACCAAATAACTTCCTAAGGCTTGGTAAGAAGCCATTTTGCCAGGCTTTGCCTTCCTACACTCCTCACAAACCAGATGCTTATAAAGCATCACCCTGCATCTTTCTTGTCAGGTTTCTTTGGGACACCTGTAGGAATCCAGGAAATGAACTGGCAAAGACATTTTTTTTCTAAAGAAAGGCATTCAAGTGGAGGATAGATCTGACTGCTGAAATCATGCGTCTGTTGTGCGCACCTGCAACTTCTCCAGCAGGTTCCTGAACACGCTGCCAACTCTACAGGGTAAATCATTAATTCCCTTTGACCCTTCAACCAGGAAATCAGACCTTGCGATTTTGGAAAATAAATGTTTTCCTTCTCTGCTAGGGCCAGCTATTCATCTCAAATGTCATTACCCCATCCTGACAGAAACAGGAGGTGCTCACTGCCTCTATTCTCTGGCTAACAGGGCTCCTATCAAGGCTGGGGGGAAGAGAGGGGAAACACAGGCTAGAGAGCCGGGGATGTGCTGGGTGGATACTACCATGGGAACTCTTCCTCCTTAACGATTTTCTAGCCCTGACAGGGAAGTCAATCACTGCTCCAGCTATTTCCCTGTCCTAACCTGTGTCTGGCATGTCCCCATACGGCTCTCCTATCACTGGAGCCAAGAGTCAGGCAGAACTAATCTCACCTTCTAAAACCTTATATCTACCTTTCTCCTTCCCCAGCCCAAGCTGAGGTCCCTTGCCACTGCTGTAGATGCTCCAGCTGAATGGACAAGACCAGCAATATGCACAGAGATCTGAGCATAGGGGGAGTGATACAGCTGCATAGATAGCCAGGTCCTCACCTACGGCGACAGTGGATGAGGAGGACAAGAACTTCCCCTCACTGCCAGGGGAAAGGAAGATTAGCTCTCTTCTGGCTCAGCCCATTACAATCTTCAGAAGGAAGGGACTACAGACAGGCCTGGTGCCATAACTGAGGGCTGATCCAGAGCTCCACACCCTCTTTCATGAGCTACCTGCACCCTGGCCTCCATCAGGTCCAGCCGGAGGGCTAAGGCCTCGCGCATGAAGATGTCTGGGTACTGCGTAGTCTCAAAGGCCGATTCCAACTCCTCCAGCTGCCAGCTGCTGTAGTTGGCTCGAGCTCGTCTCTGCTTCAGCGGACGAACTTCCTCTGAAGGAACACAAGAGCAATGGTAACCCCAAACAAGCTCTTGCCACTCCAGGCCAGCCGAGGCACCCCCTGCACAAGAAGCATTTGGTACCCTCCCCTTAGCACCGCATTGCCACCCCCCACCTGCTCTCCTTGCTCCCAGCGCCCTCCGACAATACGTTACTCAGTCACACCCTCCCAAGCACTGCCTCTCCAAGCCGTCTGCCTCTGATTATTCAGAGATCAAACGTGAACCAGCTCTTTTGGAGGCTTCTGTTCATTTTGTTTTAAATTTCACAAAAAATAAGCCAGCTTCTCTCCCCTGTAACTATATGTCAGTAGCTAATTCCATTTGAGCACTTTCTTAGTGAAACCAAACAGGATTTGACTTCACAGTCCAGACAGAAGTGATTGTTAGGACTTTGGGTTAGATGTTCATATAGAAATATGCAGTGACTATTAATAATGCATGCGCGTGTGTGTGTGTGCATAGGTGTCTGAATACAACACACGCTTATACCATGTCATCTCTCTATATGGCCCCGCGTAGCTGTAATATCTGAATGCCTAGCAATTTTGCATGGTTTTCACATGGGATGGATGGCAAAAAGGTTCTATCATTATTATTGATTATGTTATGGCAGCCATACCAGAACTGCCTTGTACTATCTGCTCTATAAAGCGAAGTTGACTGTGTGGGTCGTGAGTGGGACAAATAATTCAGAGATGGCAAGACCATGTGAAAGTGCAGCAAGTCACCCTGGACAAGGGACCTCAGCGTCTTTGCACCACTGCACCCTATCACACCTTTTGCATGTGACATGTCTTAGAAACCAGTTAGGGAGGTTTCTGTTTTGCCCACATCAGGCTCAGTTCCTTGGTAGTTGGACTTCAATTGCATGGTCCCAAAAAAAGAGGAAAGAACAAAAAGCCAATACATTTTACAAGGCTCTGATGTCGCTCCTTCTGCACGGTGATGTCTCAATATTGTACGTGCTGGTATCACAGGACTTTTTTTTTTCTTTCTGGTGGGGGTGGGTAGGAAGGAAGATACTTTCTGGAAACTAGGGACTTGCCCCTTTCTACTGGGTCCCCTCAGTCTTGCTCACCTGAGAATGCCCTCACCAATCCCAAACCTGTGTCTCGGCCTGCCGGCAGCAGCGCTCGCTTGCAGGGCTCTGGAGGGCTGTGAGGCTGGAAGAGCTGGTTGCTGAGGAAAGGAGCTGGGAAGAAGAGGCTGCAGACAGGAGCAGACGGGAGCCGAGGTGGGAAAGCAGGACCACAAAAACAAGCCGCTTCCGGCAGCAGAGGCACCACGTATGCTGGGCTGAACATTGTGCCCTGGGGACGCTGGCAGAGCTGCTGCACCTGGAGAGGAAAGACAACAGACAGGTTCCTGCCCTTCTGACCCACTGCAACTGCAACCAGAGGGAAAGTGCTGGGGAGACTGCACTCAAGTCGCACCAGAGTCCATCGTGCTTGTATAAAAATCCACCAGTGACCCCAGAGTCCCTGCTGGAGCGACGGGACCTAAACACTGGAAAAGGGGGTCACAGATACCTCTCAGCAACCAGGGATAATTCATTCAACAACAGGGCACTGGCCTCCCAGCAACAGCCCAGAGAAGGGGATGAGCTCCCATGGCAACAACTAGACCCAGCTTCCAAAAATTGGTCTCTTCCTTCCCACAGATCAGTGGGAGCCAACCATTTTGGCAAGCATGCCACAAATTAGCCCATGCCCTACCCAAGTGCCACTCTGATCCCCTTCCTCTGGCCAATCTGCTGCTCTGCTTTCTGCTCCCTACTCTGTACTACTCCCTGGCTGATCTCTCCTCTGCTTCATGCTCTCTGCCTGATCTGCTGCTATGCTGCCTGCCCCGTTCAGATCTGCTGGGTGCCACACACAGAGGTGGTCTGTGCCACTTGTGCTGAGGACTGGCCACCTCTGCTCACGGTGAGCAGCAGGTCCCACCATACTGATCTCAAGCAGCCGGGCGGCAGCACCATACCTAGACTGCTGGTAGCCCCGGGCGAACTTTTAGCATCAGGCCCCCCTTTGGCAGAGATGATGATGATCTTGATGATAATAATAACAACAACTACAACAACCATTTTCAGGTCCCCTTTCTGTCCAGATCACCACCTGGTTCACCCATGCCTGTGTCCAACCCTGCTGGGCAGTAATGAGATACCTTGGCCCAGGCATGAGGGACCGGTGCACACTTCGGGGTGAGGATTTACCTGAGGCTGGGGGGGGGGGCATCAAAAACAGCTTTCCCCAAAACCTTTTCTATTAGCAGGCAGAAACAACAATGGAAAGAATACTGACTTTCATCAGCTGCAACAGATCTTTGTGATGCAAGAAGAAAAATAAAGCAAGAGAAGGCCTGGAAAATGCCAATTCCACTGAGGCAGATGGTGCTCATGAAATCTGCCATGGGATGGCAAGGTAGATATTCATAGCAACAGTATCAGCCTGGGGTGGACTATGACATGCTCTCTTTTCTCTGGCCTTCAGCACCTCTGTACCATTGCTGCTGGCTTTGCCCCTTGGAGGAATGGAGAAGTCAAGAGCATGCTCAAGTTTGAAGGAAAGCAAAACTCTGAGACCAGTGTGATATTCCTACTGGTTTGTCACCTGGTGAACAAACATAAGCAGGATAAGTCTTTCTGACTGGACACCTCACAGAAGACTCTCTGGGGAGATGTCCAGGTCTCAGTTAGCCAAAGGGCAGGAGGAGAATGAGTGTGGATTATAGGAATTGCTGTGCAGGCTCAGACAACAGTCTGGTCCAGCATCTGCAGAACTGAGTTCAAGGTCTGCCCTTCCTGGACAAGTGACTTCAAAACCTACCGTCCAATCTCCTACTCTCCAAAGACCAGAAGAAGCCAGCGAGCATTTGCAAGGCCAGATAGCAGAGGATTACAGCATTTAAGGCTAGAGCAAGGGACTCAAATGGCAGCACGACTATGACGACGCACTGCTGAGCTGGGTGGCTTTGGCTGGTGAAGCCCATCTGGCTCTCACTAATTGGAGCAATCAGAGTTTAAAGACCTGTGGTTAGGGGTAGCCAGACGCTTCAACTTTTGCTGACCTGGAATGTGGGGGGAGGCATAATCCTGGTCTTGGGAGTCACCTGAGAGACCCAGAGGGCGACCACAGGTCTTCCAGAACCTGACCTAAACCCGCACGTGACGCTTTAAAGTGCATCGGTGATACCGTGGCCTTCAGAATTGGGGGGCTGATTCAAGCTTTCCAGCAATGACAGAGAGGAAGACAGAATGGCACAGCTTTTTCCTCCTTTAAATCCAAACCACATTGTCTATCCCTAAAGAAAACACCAATTTGTTATTTATAGAGCATCTTCTGTCTGCTAGGCAACCTGCAACATCCGCTCAGCCACTACACTGCGACCACAAGAGAGACCAAATTCCACCTCCGGCAAACCACAAAGACACAAAATACTGGGAGAAGATGTTAACAGAGCTAGGAAGAGGGAGGCGGGGAAGGGAAACACATTCATCTGCACTTTAAGGGGAAACAGACTCCCTGCCCTCGACTGCCTCAGAGCTAATTTCACCCCTTCCTTCCTCAGTACAGTTGTACTATGGCATATTTACATCACAGAGGAGAATAAAGTCCCGCTCTGGAACGAACAGGATTCTCTCCCTGATCAGCAGTACACAGAACATCTCCTTTTAGCAGGTTGTATTAAACCCAAAACAGCAACAGCCCCTAGGAACAAAAGGATTTTGGGGCTAGGGAAACTGGATGCTGGCTCCAGATGATCTCATGTCTTAAATGCTAGGGAGAAAGGTGTGCTGTGACGGGCAGAGGGACAGCGGGAATGCTACCCGATCAGCCGCTCCTCTTCGAGAGCCCCTTCGCCTTCTCGGGGCCTGCCCCATCTTACCTGGACCAAGAGATTCAGGGAGCTGCTGAACTGGCTAACAGGCGAGCTCAGCTCAAGCGGAGACTCCAAGGTGCTCTCAGGCACGCCCGGGACACAAAGGGAGACGGGCTCGCCCTACGTCTTCCACAAATCGAGGAAGTGAGAGAGCATCTGCTGATCCAGCCGCGTGGAGTAAAGTTGAATGCTAACTGGGATTTGCCCAGACTGCAGTAAGAGTGGGCAATCACCGAATCACCTCCAGCAGGTGGGAAATAAAGAGACTCCTTACCTGGAGCTCCCTTTCCCTGCAGTCACATGCCCTTTCAGACACTAAGCTGATTCCTTTACTTCAAAGAAGCTCTTCAGTCAATTAGAGGCAAGCATGAGCTGGGATTGAATTTCCAAGTAAATATTCCCACTAATGCATCTCTGGCGCTGACCTGGAAAAGCCGTCTCACCTGCAGGAGGAGTTTGCATAGATGGGAAGAACCACCACCAGATTTCCAACAGAGCCTAATGAGACTTCTGAAGCTCCCACCACTTCACCCCGTATCATATTCACAGCGGCTGGAGCCCTGAGCTTTTCCTCCAAGAACGGATTCTCCTTTTGCCATTGCTCTCTCCCTCGGGTGACCCAGGCTGCCCTCAGCTTTTCTGCTGGGAGTCTGCAGCAAGGGAATCAGGGTATTCTGCTTTCCAAAAGTAGCTCATGTCTAATATGCTAATGGAAAAGCCCCTGCCCTGACCTCCTCCTGTTTATTTCCAAGTGGGTTTTGCTCAGCTTCTCCAATACCTACAGGACAGTTTTTCCCTTCTGAACTTACAGAAAGAAGACAGAGCAAGTAACAGCATCAAGCAAGGAGAAACTCTTTAGTGAACAGAAATGAAGACCAAGCAACCCTGGAAACTGCAGGCCACTGGTAGAACAGAAGGAAAAAAAAAAAAGCAGAAATCCAGGGGACAGAGAGTGTGCTAGAGAGGCCAGGAGCTAAGACCAGAGGTAAGTGGAGAGTAGAGACAAAAGTCCCGTTTTCCTCTGGGGCCAAGCTGTTCTCAGTGAAAGACCAGGTTCTGCCGGTGCATCCGGCTTGCTCCTGCCTTGGCCGGTTATTGTGGGCTGGAAGTTAAAGATCTTAAAGCCAGCAGGGAGCTTCCACGTGGTTCCCCAGCCAGCAATGCACAGGGCTGCCCTTAGCCCCTTTCCCCTGCGGAGCTGCCCCCCAAGCCTGCACTCCCAAGGTCACCTCCCGCCAGGCTTGGAAAGCAGCTCAGGTTCCCAGAGACCAGCAGGCTCCTCTTGTCAGAGCAAAGTCTGAACAGACACGGCCACCCTGGCAGGGTGCAGAGGAGAGCAATTAATTCAATTACTGCTGTTTACCCACTTACTGCCTGCCCGCACCCTCCCTGTCATGAGCTGGCCCTCAAATGACCCCTCCGCTATCAGACCAATGGCTTTGCTGTCTGTCCTGTTTGCTCCAGGTCATCTATTCCTTGCCAAGCTAAAGCTGCCCAGCAATGTTCATCTACCTGCCCCTGCTACTGCTGGACTGCCCCAAAAGCATTACACACTGGACAGAGGGAACAACTACACAACAGGACGCGTGTGATGGTCTGAGCTATCAGCACACACCTCACCGGTAACACAAGAGCTTAGAGATCATTCCTTCCTCCTATACCTCCACACTGGCTCCAGTAAATTCTTCTGCCCACATTCCCATTGTAATAACACCTGTGTGTTGTCCCCTTCGAGAAGTCAGGCCCAGCAGAAGCCCCTTGAAATGCTGCCAGCCTGCCTGTAGACCAAAGCCACCCTGTTTTTGGCCGGGGAGTTATTTTCCCTTGGTACCAGGTACAGGAGCAAGGCAGTGAAAGCTGGGTCTCAGGAGAAAATGACCTGCTCTAATGAGCTCCTAGGATAGCCACCCAGGGCATTGCACACCAGGCTGGAGAATTAAGACGTGCATGTCCCAACATCACAAACGCTGCAGCAGCAGGGGCTGGGGGCAAGCATCTCATGAATTGCCACCACCTTGGATTTCTAAGGTGGTGACAAACTTGGGGGGTTTCCTAAGGAAATAGGAACAGCTGCAGGTGCTGACCAGCCTAGGCAACGACAGACCACAGGGAGACAGTGCCAGCTCTGTGCTCTAGGGCAGCTCATGCAAGCAGGGGGCACAGCCTCTGCTTTCCACAAGCTTTCCCAGGCCAGGCATAGGGCTAAGGGCAGTTTGCCTCTTCAGGCAGATGGGCTGCAGGCTCTGGCAGAAACATGCTCTGAAGCCAGACAGGCAGAGGCTGGAAGGCCACACAAGGGCCTTCCTGGCACGAGACAATGCTCAAAAGCAGGAAGAAGTTACCTGTCCAAGTGGAGACCTGGCCACAAGGGTCAGTGAATGCCCTGCCCCATGCAGGTGCTTGCAATTGGGGCAGCAGCTGAGAGAAGCCGTACCTTTTCACTGCCTTCTGCAGACCTCCAGACCTGCTGGAGGGCAGTCGCTGGCCAGCGGTACAGGGGCAGTGGCCAGGCACCAGCCTGCTCAGACCTAAAGCTGCTCAAGGCAGCCCAGGCAGATTTATCATTATTAAGCTGTCCAGGGCAACACCTGCATGATTAGCCCCGGATTTCATTTGTATCCTATTGCGGGCACTAAAGTCTCACTCCGAAGCTGCTGCGACAGCGAACTGGCTATAAAAACTACTGTTAGTTTTCTCAGGAGAGAGAAACAATCTCCATTACGAGGAACCTTTGCTGCTGCCTGGTGCTGGGAGGGGGCTCAAGAAGCCTGTGGTTGCTGTCACCGAGGAAGAGCAATCCCGCAGGTTCCTTGACAAGGAACTGCTGTGCTGGGAAAGGACATGTGCCTGGAGCCAGGCTGGACGTGGTGCCATTGAGAGGCAGCGGGACAGAAAGGGCAGAAAGGAGGATGCCCCGGCAGAGTGCAGACAGGGAGATCAGAGGAGCTGCAGCTGGGACCTGCTGAAGGTTCAAGCCCTTTGCCTCTACGGATCATAGGAGGGAGGCAGGTTGCTTGTGCGAGTTGCCCCGCGCCAGAGCATTAGGTCAGGCCCTACGGCTGCTTCAGCTCCTTCCTCTCCCTTTAGGCAGTGGGGAAGGGAATAAAGCCATGCATGCCAGCAGTGGGGAGGGCTGCAAGCACAAGCTTTCCACTTCAAGAGGCAGGGACAGGATGGGTGGGGACTGGTGTGTTTTCAGCTGGATTGTAGGCCTGCTCTGGAGGCAGCACACAAGGAAACAGGCTGCTGTGGGCCAGGCAGGAGCGCAAGGTGTGTTGGACTATGGCTTTCTATGCAGGCCCCCCACCTCGGACCCAGCCTGGAGGCTCCCCAAGCTCTTCCAGGCCTGACCCTGCACCTCCACCCTTGCTAGGGCCAGCTCTAGCTCTCCAAGCCCCAGATCTCCCTTTAGGACCTTGGCAGTGCAGAGACTAAGGGGAGACTAACCCCACTAGGCTCTTGCCATTCTTCCATATTCAACCCCGGACCTTGGCAGGGAGGGAAGCCCAGAGGTTTGCTCATTCCAGCGCTAGTCTCATCCCCTCCCACATCAAGTCCAGCACCGGGCTCCTTTTGGCAAGTCCCTGGGTAACAGGCAGTTGGATGCTCAGCGCCTGGGTCTCAGGCTCTCTGTAATTGGATCCTTCCCCACCAGTTTGACTGTGCTAAGTGCCGGATCATTTGCAGAGAGCAATCATGATAAATGAGATGGCCCTTCATGCAGAAACCACAAAAAAAAAGCCAGACCTGAGAAGGAAGGAGGGGAGAGCCCAGCTCGCTCACTCCAGACCTCAAAACAAGAAACTGCAGCCTGCACAGACAGCTCCTGCTCTCCAGGGCTTGTTGAGAGATGCTCCTGCTTGGGAAGGAAGGGCAAAGCAGAGCATGAAGCTGGCTCACATAACCCCCTCAAGCCCAGGGACCTCTCCCCCATGCAGAGACTCTCCTTGTAAGCACTTGGGCCCAGTGAAGTCTCAGTGCCGCTGGTGGTGGCTATGTGAAAAGAGCTTCCTCCTGGAGCTCAGACACTTGCTAGATGGCCGCAAGTGCTTGGGAGGCTAGAGCCAGGCCTTGGGGTGAGTGCCTCTATGCCAGAACAGCCACGAGGAGCTTGCCCTAATGGATGTCGAGGGAGACAGCCTAGCCTTTCTGGAGTATCTCTACACAAGAGGCTCATAGCAATAGTAGAGGGTTTAGGACACTTGGTTTGTTCTTGTGCAATTTGGCTTGGGGAAATCTTCACCCCAAGGCAGCTTTGGTGGCTACCTCAGGGGGTCAACTCTGGGCTCTGCCAGGGACCACCTTGTAACCCAAGCAGCACCTCCCTGTTTCCCCAGGGGAGTTTGAAATAATTTTCTCCAAGGAAGAATCCCCAGTCCTTTCCCAGGGGAAGGGAGGAGGTGGGCACAGCCTGCAGCAGACAGTCCTGTCAGCTTAGCCCAGATGTGCGGGAGGAGCCCAGCCGGCTGGAGGAGACAGCTAGAAACTACCGAGGCGGGCCAGTGTCAGTGCATCAGTAACGCTGTCACCAGCCGTTTTAGAGCTGTCACTTCTCAGGTGAGAGGGGCTGGGCTTCTGCCCCATCAGCCCCACCTCTCCCTCCAGCACCAGCCGCACCTACCCACGGCTCTCCCCGAGCTCGCAGGCACCTTGCTTCCCAACCCCATGCGCAAAGCCCCCAGATTAGCAGCATGGTGAATTCAACCTGAAACAACCCCAGCCCACAACAAGGATCCTGCTAGGCAGTGTCCCCAGGCTTCCCAATGGACAGCAGCACAAGCATCAGAGCCCGATGGAAGTATTTCTACCATGCCCATCAGTGGGCAATATCAAAATCTACACTCCCACAGAGAACAAGGAGCTACTCCAACCTGTGACTTGTTGGGTCCCCCGCGGGCCTTCCCACCTCTCCTCTATCCTGTGAGACCTGCTGGCAAAATGACCAACAGAAAGCCAGAGGCATTGCTCACAGCACCAAGTCCATGCACTCACTCTTTACCAGATCGCTCCGTTTCTTCTGACTTGCCAATTGGGGTGGCTGGAAGATACACTTAGTCCTTGAACACCACTGGGAACTGGAATCACCAGCGCGGTTTGGTTTCAGCCACTTCCATTTTTAAACCACTTGAATGAGAGCTTCCAGCTGTGGCACTCCCCCTGAGCTTTCCCACTTGCCCCAGCTAGGGGAGTGTAAGCTTCCCCAGAAGGGCCCTGTCCTTTCCTCCTGCCCCGCTTGCCATCATCTCCAAGATAGTCCCCTCCCACCTGCTAAGTTCCATGAAAGCACCTCAAATCCTACCACATAGCCTCCCAGCTATTCCAGGCTGACACAACTGAGGGAGACACCTCTCTACTGTGATGGACTGTGTAGCAATTCAAATGATGGCCGAAATAGGGACTAAGTGCAGAGCATCCAATAGATCTCATTTGTAACCTTTCAGGTAGGAACGCTAGGCATTAATCCACATTGTCACCAAGCCCCTGAGGAAAACGATTCCATTGACCTGATCTTCTTCAGCTGCTTCACTTAATTTATAGCAAACTAATTGCTACGGAGATGTTCAGGAAGACAGGAGCAGGTTGCATCATTAAGCGATTGTTCTAATCTCTTCTTTTAAAGGCTACCTAAGAGAATGATGGGTTTTGCACTGCAGTTGTTTGGCCTTGTAATTATCTCAGCTTCAGTCTTCTGACCAATTCTCTCCAAGCACTGGAGAAAGGACACTGTCAAGATGCCCGATTCAACAGCAGCCAGAGAAAGAGGCCTTCTATAAACCCCCAGAGCAGCTGAGCAGAGGCAGTAAGACTAAAAGCTTCCCTTCTACCACTGTAGCCCTGAAGCAGAGGAAAATTTACAGCCAGACTGAAGGGATTTCAGTGCAGATCTGCTCAGCAGTACAAAGCTCAGCCTCTACCTAGTGGAGTTAAAAGCAGGTCAATGCCATCTGCAGCATGCAGAGGCATGGCTCAATACCTGTGGTTTAGGTGGCAGAAGCTGGCCACCTAAGCCAGCCAGGATGGAGACAAGACCCACACATGGCATCTTTGAAGCAATAACAGAGGGCGGCAGCAGACACTGGCTAAGACAATGACCCAAGGCAAGGCAGCTCTCAAGGAGCTGCTGGTTGCAAATGCACCTCACTATCAAAGTGCCTAGAAGCAGAGGAAAGTGCAGAGGGTCTGAGGCACATGAGTGGTGAGCTGCTGGTGGGCCAGAGATAGGTTTCTGAATGAAGAGACGTGCCCAAGCCATGAGTCCTGGCCTAAATCACTTGCGAGGACATCATGTTAGGCAGCCCATGACTTGCCTCTCAGCTGTGTTCCCAAGATGATCTGTCTGCAGGTCTCCTCCTAGTGGCCAGCAGCTCTTTGACAGTGGCGAGACCATTCCACATCCCCAGCTCTTACCTGTGTGCGATCAGTGGCTTGCACCTGGCCCTCCACCACCCCACTCTGGCAGGAATCCCGTCTCAGGGATGTTTAGGACATGCTGAGATGCCCTAAGGCCCTGCCCAGCTTAAAAAGCTTGCTTAGGGTATTGGGCTTTGGCTTAAGCCAAGACCAACCCTAAGCAGCTTATTAGCTGTGGGGCAGTGGCAGTGCTTGGGCAGCTCCAAAATGCAAACAGCAGAAAAGGAGGCATTTAGGAGACTTGGGAGCCTCCAGGGTTATTTGGCAACAGCTGATGAGGAGTTCAGAAAAAGGTCAGCAGTACCTAAAAGGCGGATTGAGGTTACCAAGCCTAAAACCCTGCCCCTTGGTTTGCACATCCACACATACTTTGGCCTGTACGGAGAATGCTCTGGTGGCACACAGCCGTCAGCACCATACTCCGCCCACTCCGTGCTTTTCATATAGGCTTGCTATGACCTAATGACTGCCCCTGTCAAACAGGCCACATGGGAATCAGCTAAAGGACTTCCCATCTTGCTACTACCTATCTGCTAAATCTGTGCCTATGAGACTCCGACAGATGTAGGAGTCAAGGGACAAATTACACAGCAGGAAACTAAACAGCCATGTTTCTGGAGGATCAGCAGCCAGGGGACAAGAAGCCCCTGTGAAGCTCCAGTCAGGTTTGGCTGTGGAGGGGCAGCAAGGGATCTGTAAGAAGGTTTGTCACAGAAGCTCTCTCTGAGGAGGAGAGGGAAAAACCTGAGAGAGGACAGAGAGGAGCCCCTGTGACTGAGGGCAAGGAGGATGTCAGGCCATCAGGGAGCAGGATGGAAACCAGGAGAGATTTAATTTAAAAAAGAATCACAAAATAATGACGAGTCTCTCACTGTAGGGATTTCAGTGTTCCCTCCAGCAAGTAAGGGAGAGAACACAAGCCTTGGGAACCCTGTGGCCAGTTCCCTTCCCCAGTCCACAGCCAACAGCACCGTGGGTCCAAGGTGGAGAGTACAGCTGCTGCCCAATGGAACTGGGTAAATGTTGTCCAAGGTGCCCATGAAGGAATGGTCCCTGTTAATGTGTAGTGCCCAGGGCTGTTCTGATCCCCAAGAAGTGATGTCCTGAGCAGGACCTGCTACTGGTGAAAGCCCAGGTGCGAGCCCTCTCCTCTCACAGTTAGGCTGCCTTCCCTGGTGTCTCTTGTCCACTCCAGTGCATGGGGGCTGAAACACAAATGCTTTCTCCCAGGATTCAACCCAAATGGACAGGTCCGAAGTATTCATCTCCTCCAAAAGATGAGCTCCTGGGACGGTGACATTCAGATCATGGCTTCCATGTGGAGAACCTTCAGGGCCTCTGAAATCTGGGAGCTGGTGTCAATCTGTCCATACATCCCAACCAGGAAGGCCCTGTGCAGTAACACTGCCGCATGCTCTGTGAAGGGGAAATGGGTAAGTAAAAGGAACAGGTCTAACAGCTCAGATTTACCAGTGACAGCCACACAGAGGAAGGGCTCCCCACCTCTCAGTGCAGCAGAATTCAGACTCCTTTCCAATGCGAAGGAGAGGGGGCTTCCCACCATAGTAAGGTCACTGCGAGCCCTCTCTCTACGCATATCTAACACTCCAGACACTCAACGGATAGTTACAAAGCACCATAGCTCAGAGGCAGACCCCGTATCAGCACAGGAGTCTATGCTGGGCACCCAGGCTCCAGCAGTACCCCCTGCATGGGGCTGAGAGCAAAGCTAATCTGGGCACTGGACAGCCAGTAACCAGGGTTACTGGTTCTGGACAAGAGAACTCCTCTTTCTTGGGGCCAAACACGCAGTGTAAGGCCAGAGGCCTGCCCTACCTTGGCAAAGAAGGGTGTATTCCGGCAGGTTTCTCAGTGCTGTCTGTACTACTTCAAAGTCTCGGCTGCCAAGGCAGTACATGAATGTGGGGAGGAAGTCTGCAGCAACTCTGGGAATGAAACACAGTACCATCAGCACAATCCACACCCGTGCTATCACCATCACATGTGCAAGGCCATTTGACCGAGACAGAAGCAACTGACTCAAAAAAAGCATTGCACTGCTGGCTCCCCGTGGATCTCACCTGGGGTTGTTCTGAATGGAACGCAGCGCAAGGCTGAAGGCCAGGTTCCGGCAGGACTCCTCTGAAGAGCTCATCAGCTTCTGTAGGTTAGTCTGAGAGACGGAGACAGATGGACCAACCTCCTGGTCAGTGAGATCACGTGGCGAGACACTGAACACAACCCCCTTGGGCTTCACGTGACCCTGCCCCTCATGGGTCAGGGCCAGGAAGAGCAAACGCAGGTGTCTCTCTGTAGGGACTGGCCAGCTCTCAATGCTTTAAGCACCTTGGATTGCCCGCCCCAATCCTCTTGCTCATCCCTGGGTTGTTTGATCTTCCCACACAAGTGCCTATTGCAGAGCTGCTCATTTATCTCCAAGGACCTTATCATACAGAGTATCTGTTTAGCCCTGTGGCAAGCTTGACCCGAGAGGCGTTGATTTACAAGAAGTCAGACACTAAATCACAGGGACTGTGTGACAGAGAAGGGGCAGGGGGTACAGCACACACATGCGGCAGTGCAGGGTCTAAACTCAGAACCAGCCTATTCAGAAACACCTCAACAATGACCCAAGAAGCAGAGAAGAAGCTTAGACTCAAGTTAAACTGTGCATGATGGACTGTGCTGTAAGGAATGTCCCATGAAGCAGAAGAGACAGCAAGCTTCCAAGCCACTCATACTCACAGCAAAGAAGGCCAGGATCTCTGGTCTCCGTCTGGACATCTCATCGATGTCAGTCAGCACCTCCAGGATGTCTGGGGAAAAGACACAGGCGGGGGGCTTTACTTCAGTAACCCAAAGAAATGAGATGATGCTTCAAAGAAGATCAAACCAGGGTTCCCCATACAGTAGACCCAGAACTGCCCCAACAGAGGCTGCTTTCACTACTAGCACCAATCACAGCAAACATTTCACCTCTGCAGCAACTTTTACTGTAGAAGTTTCCCCACACAGGGCTTGCTCATAACACTACACTGCAATGCTGCTGTTCAGGAATACTGGATGCAAGTGAAAGCAGAAGTGGAGGGCAGTTCCTTGGGATACCACACTAATACCTTAATCTTTTGTGAAAGCCACCAGGGGATGTCTGCTAGGTCTGCCTGGAGAGGAGCTGGACATCGTTTCAATGTTCAGACAGCTCTTCAGTCAGCACAACACCCAGGCATTGCTCCAATACCAACTCCAAACAAAGTGTGGCACACAATCAGTCAATCAATCAGAGCACCTGAACTGTTCTGGGAGGCTTCCAAATACAGCATGGACCAGATTCAACCCTATTCAGCCCATAAACTGGAACAAAAAAAAAAAAAAAAATCACAGCTCACTGTTGTAAGGCTTCAGGGCACTTGCAGTTTCTGATACAAACACCTCAAAGATACCTATGCTGTGATTTTGATTTGGATGAGCCTGTCTGACTACTACAGGCTTCCAGGTTCTCTCTCCCAATTAAATACCCATATCTATTTGTCTGTATTTTTGTCTAGTTCTGGGTCTGTGATCATGAGCAATGTCACACTGAGCTGCTGAAAAGCTGCCACAGCAGAGGGTAGATTTATAAGGCCGATGAGGTACTTTAGGAATGGTGCTACCAAAGGCTGCACTTGCTTACCCTCGACAGTCTGGCCCCTGGAAAGCCTCTTCATGTATGGGGCCATTTCCACTGGGGTGAGGGGGGTGAAGAGAGACATGCTGACCAGTGGGAGGGAGCCCGCTGCTGCTTCATCTGGGACAGAGTAAAGCAGGTCAGTTCCCAGGCATTCTCTTTACACTGAATACAAAGACAAGTCCAGCACTCTCAGCCAATGCAGCCCATTGACCACTGTCCCCTAATGTCCTTACATAGCTTCCACTTCCCACCAAAGGAGGAAGCAAGAAGTGACTCATGTATCTTTAACACCCATTTTCCTAAGCTTATGAGGAACCAAGGTGACAACTAAGAATGAGGCAGGAGCAGATGTGTCTTTACAAGATCCAAGCTGGTTCATTAGAAGAAATGTGGTGGGCAGCAGAATCCGTAACATCAGCTTCTTGTTCCACTGCACTGTGAGGCTCTGGCTCCAATAGCTCAGAGACTGCAAAATTAGCACCTAATGCTTCCCAGGCACTGGTTTCAATCCTGCTGACACAGGAGGGCTTGTTCTCATTCTGCGCTACTCAAAAGCTGTCCTTCACTGTCCTAGGAAGGCTGGGACTGCAGAGCTCAGGATGGAGTCCACACAGAAGCATCAGTGCCCCAAAAATACATACACCATACATACAGGCTGGGGAACTCCCCTCTTGTCGGC